AAAAAAAAAAAAAAAAAAAAAAAAGTGAGATATGGCATCCGGGGAGCCCCAGACTCTGCCATCTCAGGATGGAGGTACAGAACGCATCAGGCCCCATGATGACTAACACCTTGAAGGGAATTGACACCTCTCAGGGCTCCCGGGCCATGAATATTGCACACCTGTCCCATTGTGTGACTTTGCTCCCGACCAAACTACACTCTGGGCACCGGCGTGGGACCCAGGTCCACCCTGGACGGTATCCAGATGTGTCTGTTTGTTGGTTTGGGAACACCAGGGTTCCAGGACAGGTCATCTTATAGCAGGTACTCAGTGATCACTGGGTGACTTCCAGAGCCGGGGAGCCAGGTTGGCACAGAGAAGGTAGGTAAGATGCTGTTCCTATACATCCCTCATCACAGTGCCTCTGTGAGACAGAGATGGTGAATTCTTGCCTTTGAACACGTCTCTACCCACCCTGGTAGTGTCTGCTGAGTGACTTATGATCATGGCAGTCAGCCCTCCTGGGACCTGGGGTGTATAGCTACTACCAAGGAGTTTGAGGTTGCACATGGGCTAGAGGGTCTGTGATGCAAGCCTGATCCCATGATGACCTCTTCAGAGCCATCCTGTGATCCTAGACTGCCACGTCTCAGGCCATCTGTGTCCTTGTCCTACAACCATCAATTGTATATACAAAGATTTGGCCATACGAGGCCTTGTGCTTCGGAGCGACAGCTTTCAATCCTGGGTCTTTTTCTGGAGTGGGAGGCACAGAAGAGGCAGCCAGCGTGTGCTGCACGGCGTATTCTTCGTTGATTTCTAAACTTCCAGGGGAAGTCTAGGCTTTGTTTATACGTGGAGAGTTGGGTATGCACAGACCAACAACACACATAGACTCAGGACAGCATAGACCCTGCTCTTGTCTGTGCTTCTGGAGAGGGAAAGCCAGGACCTTGTACATCCTAGGCAAGTGCTCTTGCGGCTGAGAAGTGCCTGGAGCTTTGGTACCACGTGTCCATTTTTCCTAGACATGCCCCTGGGATGTGGACATGTGCTTGTCAACATCTCAGCCCTGATGAATGTCAACTTGGGGCTCCTGTCTGAGGCCCTGCAGCTCCAATAGTTACAAGAGGCTCATTTAAACGAATTTAAATAACGGCAATAAGAATGAGTCTGCTCAGCTCCATCCCAATGCTAATCTCCCCGGCACAGGATGGCTCCCGGGCCAAGTGTCCTGTGCTTGTGTCCCGTATCCCTCCTGTGTGCATGTCTGTCTTGAATCTACCATTGCAGCTGTGGACTGTCCCTCTCTCCCGGACAACTGACCCTGCAGGTGATAGGTCCCTTCTGTTCTGGGGAGCACCATAGGCATCCACGGGAGCCATAACTCTTCCTCCATGCTTCTCCATCTGCAAGCATCCTGTCTCCAGGAAGGTCACACTTCCCCCTATATTGGCACTGGCCCCAAAATGAGCCTCGCTTGAGTTACTGCTGAGAATTTTTTTTTCTGAGACTCGGGAGCTGCCAACATAGAGTGTTAAATTTAACCATCTATTCCAATCGCCCAAATGGCCCAGCTTGGAAGTGGCCTATGAAAATGAACTCCTGATCAGCATCCAGGGGCAGAGACGGAGTCACTGCTGCCAAGTTGGCCCAGCCTCCCCCGGCCTGCCTGAGTGCTCTGTTGATTGAATCCTGACAGTTGAAAACTGTCTTTGACTCGACGACAGAGATATTTATAAAATCTCTCTGTTCTCCGGCTGTTCTCTCCCCCGCCCCCCCCCCCGGCTCTCCCCCCACCTCCTGCCCCATTTTGTTATTTCTTCTGTCACTGTTGCTGTTTTGTTTTGAAAGAAACAATTTCAAGTGTCAATGCGTGAGTCGAATTCAATAACCGTGTGATTAGCGGGCCAGGTTCTAGCGGCTCGCCTGGCTCTTACACCCTCATTGGGGATCTGTGAGAACGAGGCGCGCGCGCGCATGGTGAATGAGCTTTACGGAAATCTTGGGCTTATTCTCCTTTGAGTCCGTGCCATGGAGCCGAGTTCTCGCCTCGGCCCGGCCCACACACAATCTCACAGCGAAGGCGATGAGGTAATGCTCACTTCTCACCCGCGACAGTGCGAAGTCCAGGCTGATACTCTCCGGAAATGGAAACCCCAGGGTGAGTCCAGATGGACGCGTGGCTTCTTAATTAGAGCAGGTGATGAGGCAGGAGACTGGCGTGCCCAGAGACAAACCAATTCACAGGCTGAGGAATGGGGCATGTGGGGGATGTAGCTCAGCTGGTACAGCACTTGCCTGGCATGTGTGAGGCCCTGGGGTCAGCCCTTGGTATGGCAGACATTTGCTGTGATAGCATCTACCTGTCGTCCAGCACATGGGAGGTGGTGGAAGGAAGAGGAGGATCACAAGTTTATCTTTGGCTACATGGTGAGTTCGAGGCCAGCTTGGGCTATACAGAACCTCGTCTCAAAACGAAACAATAAATGAAGCTAGGGAATGCTTGGAGCCACTGATGGGTTCAGCTTAGTCGAACACACAGCCTGGCGAGGCAGGGGCCTGAGCTGTCTCTTTACTCCATCCCATGCTACAACCTCAGACACCCTGAGCCTCAGTTTATCCATTTTTGGTGGAGAGCACCATATTTTTACCGGTGGGTGATGGCGTTTATCCTAGGAAGTTTGTCTGCCTGTGTTACTACAGTATGACTTTGGGTGTAGCCAGGCCCAGGGCCTGAACTAGCTGCTTCAGGCACAGCTGAGTCCTAAATGCCATCATAGTTCACTTCTCTCTGCCTTCCTCTGGGCCAGCTTCACTTTTGGTTTTAATGAGGAGGCCTATGGCCACTCTAGCCTTTCCCCCTCATGATGGTAAGATGGCTGCAGTTGCTCCAACTTCTCATCTCAAGTCCCAAAGGAAAGGACCCTTCTGTTCTCCCAGTATCCCCCAGCAGAGGATCCTGGCTGGAATTAGGCCCTGTGGTCATCAAATAAACTAATTAGAGAGAGAGTCTGGGGTTATAATTAGTCTCTTCCTTCAGAAGTAAAAATTTAGGCATTCTCAGGTGATGAGGCCATGAAGCCAAATATGGTATGGACTGTCACTATGTTGGAATCTCAGAAGCAATGGAGACAGGAAACAATGAGATTGCATTTAAATTTTCTCTGTAAACTGTCCTTTGCCAGACGGGGCTCTCATGCAAAATGTCTTCAGTACAACTGTGACATGTTTTCTTTTGTGTGGTGTCACTTTAACTATGGGAAAGGGGGCAGGCCCCCCACCGCCGGTTGGAGGTGGGGGACACCATGCACCACGGTGCCTCCTTCAGGCCAGGGAGACCTAAGGAGGACCTGGAGCGTAAGCAGGCTAGTGCCATGTTTCCCAGGCAGGAGGATGGACAAGAAGACAGTACTCTTCAGGCTTAGCATGGAGATCCCATTGCTCCGGTTCAAATCCACATGGTTCCCTCTTAGCTACAGGGCCAGAACTGTCTCTGTGTATTCCAGGCTACCCTGGAACTCACTCTGTAGACCAGGCTGGCCTTGAACTCACAGAGATCCACCTGCCGCTGCCTCCTGGATGCTGCGATTAAAGGTGTGTGCCCTCACTGCCCATCTCCAGTTGCTGTTCTTTTTTTTTTTTAGCTTTCTTTTTATTTATTCTTTGTGCCTTTCACATCATGCATCTCCACCACATTCGTTTAACCATTCCTTCACATCCACCCTCTGCCCTTGTAACCTGGCTCCCCAAACAAAATAAAACTTAAGAGAAAAAAAAAGAAGGAAAACTCAATCCCATCGTGGAAGCTGTAGTGTGATACAGTGAGTCACGCAATAAACCCTTTTATCCATATATCTTAACTTGCACGTGTTCATTGCAAAGAGTCATTGGTCTGGTTGGAGGTCTCTGGCTTCTGCTACACTATCAATGCTGGGCCCTCACTGGGACTCCTCTTGGATATCCTGTCGTGGAGACCCTGCAGCTTTGGATTTACAGGACATGCCCCTTCATGTGCTCCAGCAGATGATATGGAGATCATTCCATAGATGGGGTCGATGTTGGGGTGTGCCAACCCTGGATCTGGGTCTGGGTAATTGCAGGGTTGGTCAGCCCCCCAGCTCTTCCCCATCCTCACCACCAGGGTGAGCTCTCCAGCCTTGCCCTGGCTAGTTCCCCCCTTGCAGGGATGAGCAAGGGGCGGGGCCAGTTCTCCTTCCAGCTGCCATTCTTAAGAGTCCACCCTTTCTCTGCCTGACTCCCCAAAGATCATCAGAACCAACCGGATCCTCACCACCTGGTGCAGCTCAGGGGAAGACTTGCAGGATCCGCCCTCATACTAGGAAATCAGGACCCATGGGCCCACTCTGGTCATGTGGGTTCTGAGCCGAATCCTTCCTCTCTTTCCTAAATACTCTTTTCTTTCTCCATCATGAACAGGCTCAGGTTGAAGCTAAGAAGGAGCATGAAGGTGCAGTGCATCTGTTAGAGGTGAGCACAGGTGGGTGGGTGAGGCTGGGGGCGGGGTATCGGGGTGCCAGAAAATAAATGGTACCCACCGCACGTCAGAAACTAGATGTGGCCACAGCACCCCCTCACTCACATTATCCTCACAAGCTTATCCTTGCCACTGAGAAAAGAACACAGAGAGGTGAATCCACTTTTCCTCAATCACACAGCCTGGACCCGAGCTGTGTGTCTCAGTGGGCTGTGCCTTTTGGCTAGCTGCCTTCAGTGGGAAATGAGGAAGGGTTTCTTCTAGGATCAGTGTTGGGTCCTTCCTGGGGGCTCCATCCTCTGAGGGATGGCATTGCTGACGCTTTGTGTTCCTGCCACAGAAACATTTGCAGGATCAGAGAAGGGAAGGTCTATGACAGTGGTTCTCAACCTTCCTACCATGGCGACCCTTTAATACAGTGCCTCATGTCATGGTGACCCCCACCATACAATTATTTCATTGTTACTTCATAACCGTAATTTTTCTACTGGTATGAACTGTAATGTAAATGCAGAATAACTGATATGTGAGCTTGTGCGGGTCGTGACCCACAGGTTGGGGAGTGGTTAGTGCCACACCAGCCACTTCTGGGATCCTTGTCATCTCAGCCACGTGCAGACCTTGCTCAGGGGTCCTGGGGATGTGGAAGCAGAACAGCCACCAGGTCCCATCATCTGGGGTGGCACACTGCGAGTGACCACTCCTGGTCTGTGGCTTTGGCCCTGTGGCAGCCTTCTTAGAGAACAGTGGACAGGTAGAAGGAAATCGAGCTCTTGGTGTCCCTAATTAGCAGCCTTTGCCAATCATTGCTCGTGCATAGTGACCAGTTAATGACCACTCACTAACGGTGTGAGCGGGAGAGTGGTGAACTGGACTGACTGTGTGGCTCCCCAGGCTGCCTGCCTGCTGCCAGGGAAGGGGAGCTTTCCAGGTAATTGTAGGGTGTCCCCTTGCATGGGGGAGTAGCTGCTGCTGACCACAGAATGTGTGCACCTCGTGCGTCACCCTCCGGAATCTATTCCTCCCACAGGGCAGGCTGTGTGGCCACTCTCCCACGTATTAACACTGATCTTCGGAATGTTCCCATTAGTTAGTATCAGGAGGGACATTGCGTGTGTTGCATGACAGGAAAACACACATCCTGGGAAAATGGACCAGGCCGCTTACAGATGGACACGCTCCTCTACATCCACAGTTTAGTCGGACCTCCCCCGGCTAGCCCCTTTCTTCAGTTGCCCCGAAGCTTGCAGACTTGGCTGCCTGTGTCCTTTCCATCTCCCCCTGAGTTATCACTGCAGCCTGTTACATCCCTGCTGGGTAGCCTGTGCTTTGAGCTGTGTTAATATCCACGACGTGACAATGCCTTCATTCAGAAGCTGGGGAAGGCCGTTCGGCCGTGGGCTGTACTGGGCACCGTGCGCTTCATTCACGCCATCTTTCTGTAATTGTCTTGTCTGGCTCTCCCCCCAGAACACTCTGGAGTGCATGCAGGTATTCAGTGTGGCTTTCCTACCCGTGCATGTCCCCTGTGGTGCTTTCCCTACGTGGGCAGCTCTGAGCCCTGGGTCTGCTCCTCCTCCTCCTCCTGTCTCCAAAGCACCCTAAGGGTCTGACTCTGCACAGGTGCCGGGTATGCATACAGACCAGGGCCCCTCAGCCTGGTGGCAGCTGAGGAGTGGGCAGAGGGATACACAAACACTTTCTTGGAGTGCTGAGCTGGCCTTGTGTACACGTCTTCCTATTGCTTGCCAGCGCTGTGAATTCAGATGACCATGGGCAAGAGGCAGGGACTGATGTTCCTTGGGACTGTCGCATGCATGGGAGGGCCTGGCAGCATGCCTAGAATCCCATTATGGGTCATCAGAATCCACTGTGTGACCCCTGTATGCTCGCCCTCCTGTCCCGTCCTTCCAGAGCCGACAGCAAGCTCCTTCCACAGGGAACAGGGTACCCTGCTCTTGCTTTCCAGCTTTCCCCAGTGTGGTCCCTGGCTCAGACCAAGGACGAATAATACTAAGAAACACTGAGAAGCCGGGCGGTGGTGGTGCATGCCTTTAATCCCAGCACTCGGGAGGCAGAGCCAGGAGGATCTCTGTGAGTTCGAGGCCAGCCTGGGCTGCAGAGTGAGATCCAGGACAGGCACCAAAACTACACAGAAAAACCCTGTCTTGAAAAACAACAACAAAAAATCAAAAACACCAAGAAATGAAAGGTTCTCAAGAGGGATCCTTAGACTGACCATCACAACATCTTTGGAGACTTGTCCCAGAAATTGATCCCCAGGCCCAGAAAAGGCGCAGATGAAGCTCTGTCTTATGCAGCCCTGCAGGGTCCCATGTGGATGGGGCTGAGCCACGTGTCAGAGGTGGCCTCAGGTTGGCTGATGCGAAAGAGGGACACTTGAAGTCTTGACCACTGCACATCATTATAACTGAGAATTCCTGACCCCTGCAATCCAGCCCGGCCCCCCACCCTAGCACTGCAGAGAGACAGGGAGGCAAAATCCCACACACTAGTTGTCAGGACCCCTTCTAAGGGTGGGTATCTGGGGTCTGTGGAATATTCCTAGATGTCACCTTTAGGCAGAAACACTGCTAAGAAAAGTAGTCTGAATCCCCACGGTAGCAGCAGTACAGCCACGAGAGGAGGCTGAATTGAGACGTGTGTTGCAGAAAAGCCCTCTGCATACCCATCAGCTCTGTAGATATTTGCAGTTCCCAGTGGGTGCATGGTCAGTATGTGGGGTGGGGGAGGCTGCTGCCCAAGACGCCCAAGAGAGTGTCAGTTTCAGGAGTAGTTGATCAGAAACACAGTGAGCATCCTTTAGTCCACTCTCAGGGGAGGATTCCCAAGGGCAAAAGGTAGAGTCCCCAGCACACAGCCACATCCCTCTCCCCACAGCAGGTGAGTTGGGGACAGCTGTCTAGCTGAGTTGCAAGGGAGCTTTAGGGAATGTTGGCCCTTCGCCTACGTGCTCATTTGTTCCCGAGAGAAGGAAGAGCGTGCCGGGGACATCACCCCTCTGCCACTGAGAAAAGTCTCAGCCAGGAAGATGTATGGTGGAGACCACCATGCTTGTGAGCAATGTCGGGATGCGGGGCAAGGGGTCTGGGCCTTGAGGATGGGGCTATTTCCATGGAGATCTGTTCCCATGGCAACCGTGATGGATGCATGGGACTCCCTGGGCTTGTGGGTATTTCTGCAGGTGATCTCGGCACGTCCCATTGTCTCTAACTGGAGAAGTGTCCTTTACCTTCAAAGCTACCTTAGCTTGGACACAAGCCCAGCATGCAGCCCCACACCCCGGAGAAGGAAAGTCAGAGAAACTCCTGTGGAGGCGGCAGGGAAGCCGGCAGTCACGTCTTCGGATATCTGCCTCTGGCTTTTAAATGCTCCGCCTGCATTTTGTAAGCTGCTGCACTTATTCCAATTATAGAACGCTTTGCCATCTGCCACAGCCGTGGTTGTGGTCACAGCGCAGACCTCTCCATCCCCCGCCTGCAGGTGGTTGTTCTCTGAGAGGCTTGGGCTGGGCCGGCAGAGAAGAGTGGGTGGGTGTGCCCATGGGGCTGAGTGAACACAAATAGGTGAGGTTCCCATCGTGCAACAGAGACTCCACAATGCTCCAGATAAACCGATATAAACACCACAGAATCCGAGCAGGAGCAGGAACAGAACAGGACATTGCTCTTCCTGGAAGCCTCCTGGAAGTGGGTGACTGCAAGCTATCAGAGCCTAACCAGTGAGCGGCCCGGCCCCGTATGGACAGCAGCTGCAGCCGGGGTAGGCTGGGGGCTGTGTGCACAGAGGCTCCTGAGGAAGGACCAGCAGAAGCATCTAGGCATCCGAGGCTTCCGTGGGCTCTTCTTTTTTGCTGTGGGAAGCTGCGGAGGTCTGACTTGGCACCCCACCTTTTCAAGCTGTTTTCTCTGATGACCAGCCAAGGGACTGGGAAGAAAGACAGTGTTGGTCAGGGGGTGGCCCAGCCCAGCACTCATTCTCTGTAGTAACCTTGAGGACCATGCCCTGCCTCTCCCTTTCAGTTCACTGGGAGCCACCCCCAAAGCTAGGTCCACTGCGGCGCCCCTTGTGGACATACTTTACAAAGCAAACCGTTACTGACACATGCCCAAGCCTCAGTTGGTTCCACTAAGACGACCCGGGCCTCTTGAACATGCATGTCCCTACTACCATCAGCTCCCTGTATGCTTACTGGAGAGAAAGCTACAAGCCCAATATATACCCAGGCAACTGGGTCCTCAGAGCGTTGTCTAGACATAAGAATATTAAAAATCCCAGCCTGGGCCACCGACTCGAGGACAGTAAGCTTTCATTATCCTGTTTATTTATTCACCTATGGGATAGTGCTTAGATATGTGAGCCAACTCCATGTTTAAACACTTTGATTATTTTATTTATTTTATTTTATGTGTGTATGGGTATTTGACCTGTATATATGTGTACCATGTGCATGCCATGACCCCAGAGTCCAGAAGAGGGCGTTGAACTGACTGGAACTCAAGTAACAGTTATGAGTTTCCATGTAGGTACTGGGAATCGAACCTGGATCCTCTGGAAGAGCAGCCAGTGCTCTTAGCCACTGAGCCATCTCTCCAGCCCCACATCCATATACTTTCAATTTCACTAACCAATGCCATCTTTCCCCATTCCTCACATGTAGGAAAAAGTAAGTATGGCTATAACCCTGGCATACAAACTAGTCCACTTGACCCTGGGCCCTCAAGACTGGCTACTGGTGGCCTCTAGGGGCCAGGTAGGACATAAACCTGGAGATGGTCTGAGCTGGTCATGCTCCTTGGATGCAGGACCCCAGTTAGTGCTCACTGGCCACCCCTCACTTTTGTTTAGTGAATCAGTTGTTCACGTGTGAGGTCACAGTTCCTGTCATATCTATACAACACTATGTCAACCTTTTTGTTCAGTAATAATTTTGGACTTGCATAGCTACAACCAGATTATGGAGTCTTCTGCCACCTGAGGACACAGACTCATATGGTCTTTGAATAGTCACACCCTCCCCCGCACCACTGACAAGCACTGACCTGTTCCGTAATGTATATCGTTGACATTTTGTGCTGTGGATGGGGAGTCCCCCTGCCTCTCCTTAGTTAGGTCTGATTATTGTGCATGATGCACAGGAGATGCTTTTCAGAATACAGGATTATTCAAATTCTGTTTCCTGCTCTTCCTCACACCCAGGAATCTCGCTGGCCTCTGTAGGTACTCATGGCCTGGTTTGATAACTCGGGTGATCTGATAGCTTTCCCTTCATCAGGACATTTGATGCTGGTCCCTCTGGCGACCCTACTGGTCATGTAGGATACTTGGATGCCTTAAGGATGAGTGGGGCTGCTAGGGCCGCAGTATCCTGATGTTACCACCCCACACGTAGATTCTGCTCTTTGTGGTGGAGAGGTCACACCTGTCCTCGCTCATAAATCTTCCTATGTTCTCCACCTGTGCTGCAGATCCCAGAGGTTTGGTCCCTTGCCTTCCTTTGAGGTGACGGCTGTCTCAGCCAACCTCATTCAGCTTTTAAAAAAGAGGAACCCTGCTGATTTTTTTTAATGAATTGAAGAAATTAATTATAGGCTTGGGATCCATTGCGGTTATTTTTAGAAACCCGTGATCTCAGACATAAATAGCACGCTGTTCTGGATGAAAGAGCGGAGATACTTAATGCTTATGGCATGGGGAAGAGGGAGAGGAGGGGGAAGAGGAGGGAGGGTGAGAGAAGAAGGGAGGGGGAGGAGAAAAAAGGGGGGAAAGAGAAGGAAGTACAGTATGAAGAATTAGTGGAAGAAGAGGTGGAGGAGGGTGGGGAGAAGGAGGGAGAGGAAGAAGAGGAGGTAAAGAAGGAATAGGAAGGCCGGGGGTGGTGGTGGTGGTGGTAGTGGTGATGCATGCCTTTAATCCCAGCACTCGGGAGGCAGAGTCAGGCAGATCTTCGTGAGTTCAAGGCCAGCCTGGTCTACAGAGCAAGATCTAGGAAAGGTACCAAAGCTACACAGAGAAACCCTGTTTCGAAAAACCAAAAAAAAAAAAAAAAAAAAAAGGAAGGAAGGAATAGGAAGTCCTGGAAAAGGAGGGAGAGGATACGGGGGAGGAGAAAGAATAAAAAGAGATGAAGAAGAGGATGAGAGAGAGGAGGAGGCAGAGAAGGCGGGGGAGGTGGTGGAGGAATAGAAGGTGGAGGAGGACTCTCCACCCCTGAGCCCTGATCCAGCCAGGTGACAGACTGACTCACAGCCATTTTTTCCTACATTCCCACATGCCTGTAATAAGACAAGACTTGATTGAGCACCAACTAGGTACTTAGGTCAGGGTCAAGTTCTCGGGGGGGGGGGGGGAGCAGCAGGAAGCGCACAGATTAAGCCCTTGCCTACTGACGCTGACATTGTGGTCAAGAGCCCCACAGCACTCAGGAGCAGCCTACCACATCTGTCCTGCCCAAGGAGGGAGCTTGCTGGCTGCCCTTTTCTTCCATGTGTTTCCCTGTGAGGTTCTTGTCTTGCCCTAGGTATCACGGTGGTGTTGGCCATTGACAGTGGTGTTTGTGACCCGATACCAAGTAGAATTTCCCGTGTGTTGCTGCCAGCCATGTTCTTTGGGGGGGGGGGTCCTGCAGGCCCATGGTGGGATGGGCACCCGTTGAGATGGCATTGCACGATGGGTTGGCAGCTGGGCTGTTCCCTAGTCAGTGCTGTTTCAGCCTCACGCTCCAAATATCAAGGCAGGCGTGCCAACCACCAAGTGCCCAGGCTGCATGCAGAGCCTGGAACAATCCGCGCTTGGCTGGGAGCTGAGCGATGGCAAGATTTGTTGGCACCTGTTGTTTCCCATGGTGGCCAGCAGCCAGGCTGCCTGTGAGGCTGGGCTACCAGACACTGCTGTTCTGTGGAGGTGGAAGCAGCCCCTGCCATACACAGGCACACACACACACACACACACACACACACACACACACACGTTCTTAAAAGACACACATGCCCCCTGTGCACATCTGCACCACTGAATACCCCTCTCTGATCACTGTCCTGCCTCTGCTGTGCAGTCCAAGGTCCGAGAGCTGGAAGAGAAATGTCGCGTGCAGAGTGAGCAGTTTAACCTTTTGTCTCGGGACCTGGAGAAGTTCCGGCAGCACACTGGGAGCATTGACTTGCTGGGCAGCAGCTCAGTGGCCTTGTTGGATGTCCCCTTGGCCCCTGGCAAGCCTTTCCCGCAGTACATGAATGGACTAGCCGCCTCGATACGCAAAGGTAAGTGGCAGATGTTGGCATCTGTTGGGGGAGGGTGCCTGTGGTTGAGAGTATGAAGACCGACCAGAGCAGGACTGAGGACAACCCAGGCAGCTATGTCCTTATTCATTCATGGAGTGGCTTGGATACTCTGGTGTTGGGGGGGGGGAAGCATGTTTGGTGGGTACAGGTGCACGTGCATGTAGGAGTGCATGCGTGTGGGGGGCAGAGGTCAGTCTTTGGTGGTGTTCCCCAGGAACTGTCCACCTTGCTTTTGTGAGGCAGGGTCTCTCCTTGACCTGGGGTTTGCAGATTAGCCCAGGAGGACTGGCAAGTGAGCTCCAGGGATCTGCTTGTCTCCACGGCCCCAGCGCTGTGATTATGGGATGCGCTGCCATGTGTAGTTTTTTTTTTGCATGGCTGCTGGGGATGGGACAGCATTCCTCATGCTGGTTTGGCAAGCACGGTCAACTAAACGACCCCCCGGCCCCTCCCTCCAGATTACAGGCTCATACCTGTAATCCAGCATTTGAGAAGCTGATGCCAGAGAATTACAGCTACTTCCTGAACAGCCTTGGCTATAGTGCAAGACGTTGTCTTAAAAACAAAAACAAACCCCCACGTTGTCGATTTATTTTAATTAGGGGAGCAATTAGGGAGCTGACTGCTAGGCTTCCTTTTGTAATGGTGTTAAGACAATTTCCAATCAAGCCTTGAAAGGCACAAGACAGCTTCTGTTCTCCCAGGAGAACTTGTGACCTCCTGTTTTACATCCTAGCTGCAAGGGAGTCACATAGATCACCCCTTCAGCATCGCAAAATCCTAGGAGGCCACCTGAGGTAGAGCTGAAGGTTTCTTAGAGGGGATCTGGTTACACAGGTACCTCTACATGGCATGTGTCCAGTTCTGACTCAGAAGGAATGCAAGTGTTTGGCACCAGTCACTGCTCTTCTCAGGCGTGAAGTGGCTGGTGACCTCTTGAACTTTCAGCGCTGTGGCTATCTATAGGAGAGCTGTAGATTGAGTCCATTAACTTCTTGTCATGAATGAGCTCCTGAGGCCTGCTGTGGGAGGGGGTTATGAGGCCCCCTCCATGTAAGGGTTATGTAGGCAGTTATGTATTGCTGGGAGATACATTTTCTTCTGTGGCGTATCTGCTTGTGAATACCCCCTGCCTGTCTAATTAGCTCTATTTAAACTTGTTGGTTTACCAACCTAGATTGTCTCTTAGAAGTGTTCTTATGTGCCACAGGACCCAGAGCATATGCTTCCTGACTGTGCTTGGGAACAATCTAGCATGATGCACTGTAGATGCAGTATTGAATACCTGGACCTAATCCTATTCACTTTGAAGCCCAGGACTTCGCTACTAATGCTTCAGCAACTTCCCACTCCCTTGCCCAGCTAGCCACCACGTTCTCCTCTCTGCTTCTAGGATTCTGGCATCATCAGAGTCCACATGTAACTGGGCCACTGTGGTCCGCATCTTCCAGTGCCTAGATTATTTTATTTTGAATAAGGTACTCCATGCTGGTGGGAGTGGCAGGATTTTCCTCTTTATTTAAGGCATTTGCTATGTCACTAATTGCATTAATTTCGGTCACTTTTTATTCCCGACTTGGTCATGGAGGTCTCCTGACCCTCAGGAAGGCAACCTCATGATGGACAGTTCAGGAAGAGGCTGAATGCCCCAGGCAAGAGACATGCTGGCAAGGCGGCAGAGGGTACCAGGGAATGTCACACTATACTTCATGTTTGGATCCTGATTTCAGGAGTATGGCTTCAGAGTTCACATCAAGCCATCCTGGGCCAGTGTGCTCCAGGCCTGGCCTTAGTAACACACTGTGAGGATAGGGTTCAGGGACCTGCTTTGGTACTGAGAAGCCTCCTATCAAGTAATTTCTAGCTAGAAACTTGTTAATTGGACAAGTTGGAAGTTTGTTGTTGTTACTGTTGTTGTTAAAGTGACAATAGACTTCAACGTAAACCTGTATGAGCAGGAAGGTAATTATTATCCAAGAGGGGAAGGAGCTAGAATGTAGCTTCAGGTACAGCTTCACTCAGGTACCTTTGATGACATCACAGAAGGTCCAGACTCTACCTCTCCATAGTATAGTGCCCAGCTCTATGGGCACACTCTGTTCTTTCATGTTCTTTCTTATTCCCAGTGTCAGAAAGGCTGTGGGGTCCCCGGGCCTCACAGCCTCTCAATTTCAAGCCAATGGAAGGGAAAGACCTCGTGCTCAGGATGCTCTAACCATCTCCAATTGAACCTCCTTATGTCTCATGTGACATGTCATCACTGAGCCCTCAGCACAGCTATGCTGTCCCTTACATGTCACTGCCAAGCCTTCAAGACAGCTACCCATGATGATCCAGCCCAAGGCTGTAGTGAGCCAGCCTGAGGTGACGAGGACATTAGTGGACCCCACATGGACAGCAGAGAGAGGAAAGTGCAGGGAAGGCAAATAGCTAGTATGCTGATCTGATGGCCTGTCTCCTTCCCCCATCCACTCCTGTGTCCTGGCCAGGTCACGAGGGCCCCACCGGACACTACTCTGTGATTGGTGACTATATCCCGTTGTCTGGGGACAAGCTGGAGCCTCCGTGTGTGAAGCCCTCCTTCCTGTTACGATCCAGCAGCCCAAGATGCAGATTTGAGTCCGAGGTGAGTCCCACCTAGCCAGCTCCAGAGTATCTGGGAGAATGTCTGTGCCCCGCCCCTCCATCCTTCCTTCCATGGAGGGGTGGGGCATAGACATCCTCCCATACCCTCCTCCTTCGCCCAACTCACCCAGGTCCTCCTTCATTTCCATTAATTTTTCTACACCCATCCTTAGCGAATCACCATGTGTTAGGAAGTAGGAATCTACTGTTTACAGGCAGAAGAGACCCTGGATATTATGGGGGATACAGGTAGTGGGAGGACACAGCACCCCACCAGTATCTGGACAGCTAAGTCCTGGTGAGGGTTCTGGAGACAGCAGAACAGGCTGTGTGGACTTGTGAATGGACAGGGAGGAGCTGTGACGCCAGGAGTGTTGGTCATTGGTGTCACCGTACGGCTGAGAAGCCAGGGCTTTGGTTGGCTGAGCCGGGAGGTGATGGAGGTGGGGATAGGTGTGGCTTATGGGCCCTTGAATAGCACTAACCTCTGTGGAAGTTACACAGGGTGATGCTGGAGGGCTCCCAGGAAGGAGTGGGGTGACTTGATTGGCGTCATGAAGGACCACTCTGCCTTCTACACAGAGAAAGGATGGGAGGGGAACGTGCCTTCCCTAGGACACTATTACTCAGTCTCCCTATTATCTGAGACTGAGTAATAGTGTCCTTATCACAGGGGCATATGACCTCTGAGAAAAGGCTACCTGTCCCTGGGATTATTGCAGTAGGGACTCTGGTGGCAGTGTCCTTAAGTTCTGCAGACACCGAGACTGTAGGGTGGAGGGAGGAAATGAGAGGATTCCTATTTTTTTCTTTCTTGTGGGTCTCCTTGGTTTACTGAATGCCATTGGAGATGGCAAATGGGGTCCTCCATAGCAAGAGCCCTCTGGAAGCAGAGGGTGTGGTCACCTCTTGTGGGAGCCCACAAAGGTTTCCTGGTGAGATTGGAGCTTGCTTTACACAGCAGGGCTGCATAAGGGGATGGACTGACCACGTGTGTGGTTACCAGGTGTTTGGAAGGGTCTGCACTTGGCTGTGCTGGGGGGAGGTCTTTTGCTCCATCCCTTAGCATTCCTGTAAAAGCTCTTTAGACGAGACAAAAGGGGCTGGTGGGTTTTGACCCAGGCTCTCCTGAAGTTATCCTAGGTTTCTATCTGTCTCTCTCCTCTATATTTCTATCTAAATATTTCTCACTTCTCTCTGCTCAAGAGTGCCCTGGAGGGGGGAGTGGGGGCAGGCCCCCCCCCACAACCTGTCTTCTACAAGCTACTTGGCATGACACTCAAGTATCTTAGGCTACAGTCTGGGGGGTTCACCCAAGTCTGCTGATGTTCAGGCTAGGATTCCAGCAAAGGTCTGTGGAGGTGGTTCCCATTTCATGCAAGTTTCATACACTGGGCTACTTTCCCAATGAGCCCCAGTGAGGCTGCAGGCAGATTTCCTGAATGTCACCATGGAAGGTGTCGTGTCACTGTGTGTGTGTGTGTGTGTGTGTGTGTGTGTGTGTGTGTGTGTGTGTGTGTGTGTGGTGAGGACATGCAGCCTTTTAGTCTCACTAACTGTAAACCACAATCACTGCCCTCACAGATGGACAATGACCGGAACTCTAACAACTCCAAGCAAAGCAGCTCGGGGAAAGTGCACCTGTGTGTCGCCCGATACAGGTAGAGATGTAACACCCCACCCCCACCCTGAATGCTGGGGCAGGAGAGGCAGGTGAGAGGCAGTGAGTGCCCAGGATGAGACCATACTTGGCTCCCCAGAGCTGCTGTGATTCGGTGTCTCAAGCTGAGCACCCAGGGGCTTGCTCCCTCACAGCTCCAGAGGTCAGCAGCTGAATTAAGGTGCCCCATAGCCTGGGCGAGGGTCTTGGGTCCTTCTCAGGTTCCGGTAGCCCCACTGTCCTTGACTTGTTGCCATGTCTCTCTAGTCTCTATCCCCACCTTCCTATGGCTTCTCTTCTACATGTGTTCCCATGTCTCATACATTAATGTCCACCCTGGCCAACGTGATATCCCCTCACCTGGGTACCATGTACAGGGACCTCTTGGCAAATGAGGCCACATTCACAGAAAGGGTGGAGCTGAGACTTGTGACAGATCTTTATGGGGGGCAGACACCATTCAACCCACGACAGGTGGCAAACAGAATGTCACAGGGGAGACCACACCCAGAGCCTCCACTGACGCCTCCCAATCCCCACCTTCCATTATCTTACTGAAATCTCAGGCATCGTATCTTAGAAGAACTCAGTGGAGCATGCCGTTGATCAAACAAATATAGTTTCTAGAATTTTTTTCTTTGTGAAAGTGTGGGAAGATATGCCATAAGGACATTTGATGGGACGCTGAATACATTTATTAGTCAGGAGTTAGAAGCAGTGTCTAATCTGACATTAGAAAAGCCGTTCCATAAAGTTTGGAGACCTCAACATTGGAATGCTATACTTAAACTAAAAAGGCAATGGCAGACTTCGTGAGGTAGAAATACAGTATCCCACATTGTAAGGTGAAAAAAAAAAAGGTAAGTAGTGTGTATAATGCTGTTCTACCTCAGTTAGTTAAAACCTATTTAGAGGCAACATAATTGGGCTGGAGAGATGGCTCAGCTGTAAAGAGCACTCGATACCCTTCCAGAGGACGCAGGTTCAATTCCAAGCACCCACATCAGGCAGCTCACAATTGCCTGTAACTCCAGCTCAAAGGGATCCAGTGCCCTCTTCTGGCTTCCACAGACACTGCACACACACGTGCACATAGACACACAAAAGAAATAAATCATAAAAAATAAAAGCAGCCGGGCGGTGGCGGCGCACGCCTTTAATCCCAGCACTCGGGAGGCAGAGCCAGGCGGATCTCTGTGAGTACGAGGCCAACCTGGGCTACAGAGTGAGTTCCAGGTAAGACGCAAAGCTACACAGAGAAACCTTGTCTCGAAAAGACAAAAAACCAAAACCAAAACAACAACAACAAAATAAAAGCAACAACATTCATTTTGTTCATGGTAACTCATTAATTTGGAAATGCATAGTTCTGATGAAAGAGACAAATGGGAACGAGATGTCTAGACAAAATGGCCTTGGATTCAAAGTGCTCTCAGTGGCTTCAGAATTACCTTTAACCATTGGTGTGAGCTAGCCAGAGGCGGCTTGAAAGGAGACACAGGATCTCACTAATGTGAGTTGTGGCGCCATTTGAGATGAAACAGGTGTGAGGGGCCACATGTTGGCAGACCATGGCCAGGGCCACTAACATGCAGACTGTTTCTTCCTGCAGTTACAACCCCTTTGATGGGCCCAATGAGAACCCGGAAGCTGAGCTGCCTCTCACGGCGGGAAAGTACCTCTACGTCTATGGGGACATGGATGAGGATGGGTTCTATGAAGGTCTGTGGATGCACTGCGGTTGGTGGGCACTGGCTCGTTCCAGGCAGAAGACCAGCCTGCCCGGGCCCTGGGAGATATGCCAGGTTCCCACATGTTCCTGGCTGCTAGCTCTCTGTTCTGTCCCTCTCTATCCCCGGAGGTCCCAGTCTTCCTCTGTGATGATTGCCAGGACAGTGGAGCTGGCTTTCCAAGTGTTAATGGTAATAGATGGCTGGCACTTGGGAGCCTTGAGTGTTCATCTTGGCGGAGCTCCTGGGCAGCTGCATGCTGACATGCTGATAGATGCTTACAGTGACCTCTCATTATCCATGGGGAACAGGTCCCCACTCAATATCAAGGATGCTTGAGTCCCTTTTAGAATCATGAGGTGTTTGCACATAGCCTGGGTGCCTCCTCCTGTGCACTGGGACTTCTTCCTAGATGGCTTCTAACACACACACAATGAATATACCTGCCCATGGCAATCAGGCTGTAGACTCAGTGCATGCTCTATACAGATGAACTTATTTTTTTTTTAAAGATCTTTTCCATAGTCTGAGGATGAGACGGGTGGACACTAAGGGCCACTGTGTCCCCAAAGTGCCCATCTGTGTCCTCTATGGTGGAGCCATCATGTGACCTCACTGAGTGTGACTTTCCCATTATCAGGGGCCTCAAGACTCTTGTTAGCTCAGGGGTCCAGCCTTATATCTTGACATCACCTTGCCATTCTATGTACCCCTAGAATTTACAGAAAGGAACAGGGCTCTGTCAACCCAGAAGGCCTAGGTTTTGTTGTCTTTTAACAGTGCTACTGCCCACAATCAGCTTTCTGGTTTTATTTTATTTTAATTTTATGCGTATGGGTATTTTGCCTGCACATGTCTGTGCACCACATGTGTGTAGTACCTGTGGAGGCCTGAAGAGGGCATCAGATCCCCTAAAACTAGAGTTACTGATGGTGGTGAGTCATGGTGTGGGTGTTAGGAATTGAACCCAGGTCCCCTGGACAAGCAGCCCATGCTCTTAAGCACTGAGCCATCTCTCCAGACCCTACTTTCTGATTCTAGCTGGGAGCTATCCATCCCCTGGCCCTTCTGCACTGTGGGGAAGCCTGGTCTTGTCCTAGTCTCCTGAGCAGGAGGGACATTCGTCGAGCTAGTTTTCTCTTGCATGAGCTTGGGTTGCTTCTCAGAGTATATGGGAGTTCTGGGGCTCACTTTCTGGATGTCTGCTTATGGAGCTCTGGGGCTCACTTTCTGGATGTCTGCTTATGGAGTTCTGGGGCTCACTTTCTGGATGTCTGCTTATGGGAGTTTGCATCGCTCCTGTGACATCATAAGCTGAGGCCAAGTGAGTGGGCAGGCCTTTCCCTGAATGTACAGCTCCAGCAGGTCTCACCTTAGGGCCAACAGAGTGCCCAGCTCCACTGCCAGATGACCTGGTTGACGTCCCTGAAACTTTCCCATCCTGCACTGTACCTACCTAAAGGCTCCAAGGGCCTCACTCAAAGGGGTCCCCAACTCAGGCTTTTATGGTCTGTGTGACAGTGGGACTTGCTTCTCTCCTCTGTGCCCCAGGCTTTCCCATTGCAGGATGGTGATAGCAATGATTCTCACTTTTCTCTGTCTGGGAAGATGGATTGGGTGCTAGGAAGTGCTTGGAGCGTAGCCTTGTACATAGCCATTGCTCAGGAAATGTTAGATACTGTCATCATCAACCCTACCATCACCACCATCATTACCCTTATCACCTCCATCTCCAGTACCGCCATCATCATGGTTTCCATCAGCATCACCATCACCACTATCATAAGCACCATCATCACCATTATCAATCACCATCATTGTAATCACCACCATCATCATCATCATGATGATTACATTATCATTACCACCACTATCATTATTATCATCATTACCAACACCACCATTATCATCATCAACAACATTACCATCTAATTATCACTACCATACTATCATTATTACCACCATCACCTCCATCATTATTGTTACCAACACCATTGCCATCATCACTTCCATGTGCCAGACTGTATTCAGTGCAAAGGATTGACTGCCTCAGGACCCATACCCCAAGTAGAGGTTCGGAACAGAACACAAATCCTAATTTGCCCTCTGTATGCCATGTCACAGATCCTCCAAGGCAGGGGGATCCAGGTAGGAAAAAAATCCAATGGTCATGGTGCTTCAGCCTCCTGGGGTCACCTGGCTTCACTTGGGAGGTGTGCTGTGACAAAGGGTCGTGTGTGTGTGTGTGTGTGTGTGTGTGTGTGTGTGTGTGTGTGT